CATGTCAGCCGGCCCCGCCCCCTGGTGGGCTGAGCTGGCCACACACACACACACACACACACACACACACACACAATAAATAAATGTTAAAAAAAAATTTAAAAAAAAAAAAAAAAAAAAGAAGCTAACATTTAGGGCCGGGAGACAGCTCAGTAGAATAAGTGCTTCCCTGGCTAGCACAAGGGCCTGAGTTCATTCCCCAGTTCCACAAAAAAAAAGAAAGAAAGAAAAAAAGAAAGAAAGAAAAAAGCAGCAGCTAACATTTACTGTTAGGTACTATTCTAAACATCATAATTACTGACCTTTAGGGACTGGATAACTTGTTTGGGCTGCCATAAGACTATGACAGAGTCCGTGTCACCTGCGGGCTGTGCGCCTCTAGATCTAGTGCTCCTGCTTACAGAGACACAGGAACAAGTGATGGAGCCATGGGCCATCACGAGCTCAGCGCAAGGGGCAGGCACTGCAGCACGGGGCCAGCTGCTCAGTGCACAGCAGAACTAGCTCAACTCCATTTCCGAACTTTTTCTTTAGAGATGAAAAGACTTTCTACTGCAGGTCACCAGACATTTTAACATATCTGAACAGTGATAAAACGACATAATCTCTGGAATAGAGACCAGTGTCTGCCTCTGAAAGTGATTCTGCTTTCCCATGGAGAAACGGGAAGAAACTATGTAGTGAGACCCTGTCTCGGGAGGGGGGTGATAATTCCACTCATTCTGTTGTATGAAAAGTTGGTGACCTACTTTTGATTTTAAATGGTGAGACTGAACACCAAGAATGGTGGAGTGGCAGCAGCAGAGGAGCCTCTCTGAGACTCGCTGGCCAGACGTTGGCATAGACAGGAAGACGAGGAGGAGAGAAGTGAGTCCCCTGGGCCCAAGAAGGACTGCAAATGTGAACTGAAGCCCACTGAGTGAAGAGAAAAACAACAACGGAGGATGGAGCCGGTGGCACCTCCTCCGAGGTGGGACTCACTGTGTGAGAGGAGCAGCTGACCTTTGCAAGCACAAGGTGGGTGGCTACTGCCAAACCCACAGGCCTCCACTGAGACGAGCAGTGGAAAGGAGCAGTGGATATGAGAGGCCGCACTAGCTGGGGGTAAGTGCAAGAGAGAACGACAGTCCAAGAGCCATCCTGGACAGGGGCCAGATGAGCTCAGAACGCAGAGCATCTGCTGGCTCCATCTAGCAGCAAAGGCCCACGAAAGGTGCACTACCGGCTGCAGACCAAAGGAGTCTGGTCTCAGTCAGAAGGTATGGCCCTGCTAAGATTGTACCCTACCCTACCAAAAAGCTACTGCTGGCTTGCTGGGATAAACATGGATGGGGACTCTGGTGCCACACATTGTGACCGCAGAGACAAATCTGGAAGTATATTCCCTTGCTTTTTCTTCTTGTGCTTTGAGTGGTGTTTTGTTTCTTTTCATTGTCTGATCTTGTTTTTATGGAAGTGTGAACATGGTTTCTACCGCAATTTACAGGAACTATCACAAAGAATCAACAACTGGGATCTCATCCTCTGAAAAAGCTTTTACCCAGCAAGAGAAACCACCAACAGAGTGAAGAGACAACCCACTGTGAGAAAAAATGCTTGCCAGCTCTTCCTCAAAGGGTTACTGAGAACATATAAAGAAGTCAAAAAAATCAGAACCTCAAAATTTAAAGACTCAATCCAAAAATGGGCATCTGAGATGAATATACACCTGATGAAATACAAACAGAAAATACATACATAAAAAAAGTCCACTGGTCATTTGAAGATGCAAGTAACACTGGGATTCTATCTCATCCCAGAAAGAGTGGCTATCATTAGGCAATGCATCAACAGGGCCACCAGACAGCTTGGAGGACTAAAGCGCCTGTTTAGGGCAGGGCACAGCAGCTAGGGTTTGATCCCTGGCATGCCATGCAGTGCCGGCCCCACCCCCAGGGCCTGCTGAGACGGCGCCTGAGCCTGGGCACGGTGGCGCGTGCCTGTAATCCCAGCGCTTGGGAGGCAGGAAACAGCAGAATCACTATGAGTCTGATCTACCTGGTGAGACCCTATAGACCCTGTAGACCCTGTCCTAAATATATCTAGAAAGAAAGGAAAGAAATCCATCAATAGCAAAAGCTGGCAAGGCTGTGGAAAAAAGGAACCCTTCTCCCATGTTGGTGGTCACACAAATGTGTGAAACCATTGTGGAAGTCAATGTGGAGACTCCTGAAAACAACTAGAATTGGAGGGCCCATTTGATCTATCCCAGAAAGCCAGCAGTAGCTTTTTGGTGGGATACTAGATATTCTCAGCTGAATCCAGCTTCTGGGATTTTCCCAGAAGAATTAAAAACATTGTACTATAGCGATATATGTACACCCATGTTTATAGCAGCACAATTTGTAATGACCACATCTTGGAAACAACCCAAATGCCTGATCAACTAAGTGAAGAATGTATAAAAAAGTATCTTTTTATACAATGAAGTACTACAAAGCCAGGAAGGACAAACTAGGGACTTTTATACGTAAACAGATGCAACCTGAGGCCCACTCATAAGTGAAATAAACTACACACACACACACACACACACACACACACACACACACACACACGTGTGCACACTGCAGTCTCGCTAGTGTGAGAAGGTGAAACAGAGTGGCCTGAAGTGCACAAGAGGTGCTGGGCAATGGGAAGACATTATTCAAAAGGTAAAAGCAGCTGGGGCGAGAGCAGGCGGGAAGGGCAGGAGCAGAAAAGAGGAAAATGCAAATCAGTTATATTATTAGCATCTCTTAGTTCGTTAAAAAGGAAGGTTTGTGCTAGAATAGACTGGAGGAATTTTTACGCCCTTAAGTGTAAAATGAGAAAAAATTTCAAAGGAAAAGAACCTGGGATCAAGGAATGGAGAAAAGCAAAACCATATATATGTACACGTATATGTGTATACAAATAAAAGACACTTGAGATAGTTATACTACTAATTTCTCTTAGTTCACTGAAAAGAAAGGTTTGTGCTAATATTGTTTGGACAATTGAATGCCAATATCTTGTAATTAAAGATAACAGTACGTAATGTATTAACCATTGCTACCTTATCATCAATATTTTTTCCTCTTTAAAATAAAAAAATTAAAAAATAAAGTAAAATGAATCAAGCATTCCGTGTGTGTCAAAAACTCCTCCAGTGTTTTTCTAACATGTATTGAATGCCCTGAACTCTGTTTTTGGTACTGGAGACTGAACCTAAGGCCTCTGCACTGAGCTACATTCTCAGCCCTTTTGATTTTTCATTCCTTCTCAAACTTTTTCAAAAATTTGAGGCAGAAGAGCCGACAAGACAGCCAAGCGGACTAAGTGCTTAGGCATGCGCAGGGGCCAAGACTCCATCCCAGCAGCACATGCGCATCGGCCCCATCTCGGCGCACTGAGCCAGTCACGGAGACTCAGCGTGGTAGCACCTGTGATCCCAGCCCTAGGGAGGCTGATAGCAGGAGGATCGCTACGTGTCCAAGCTGTGTAGTGAGACCCTGTACCAAATACATTTAAAAATTTTTAATTAAAAAAAATTTGACAAAGGATCTCACTAAGTCACTGAAGTACAACTTGTGGTCTTCCTGCCAGCCTGCCAGAACACTCTGTTCCTAGGCACGTGCGCAGCGCCTGCCTGCACCTCACTGAGCTGTTCACAACCCTGAAGCAGTGGTCCTAAGGCCCGCCTGAGCTAGAGCCAGGTTCCTAAGATCACCAAAGCTATCGGTGGCAGTGTTTTCCCCTCTGTCCTGTGGCTCAGACCCAGGGCACTGCCTAGTAAGGAATGGGTTTTGAGTCCACAGGTTCTGACTAGAAGCCACGCCTGGCCCTTCCAACTAAGCTGCTGCTGACTGAAACAGGGGGCAGTGATAAGACGCTGTCAGAGAACTCGGCCTCAGGAGAGAGGGTCTGCAGGTGCGACTGTGGTATAGCACTTGGCCGGCAGGGCCAAAGCCCTGGGTGCAATCTTGAGTACTGGGGAGGGGGTAGAACACAAAGATCTTTCTACTGAAGAGCTTTGGGATATAACTGCTGAGAATCTTTCCTAAGCCAAGAGAACTGAAGGAGGAGGAAAACTCCAGCAAGGCACTTCTGTGACGAACACAGCATCAGCCTTGGATTTACCATATACTGAGATCACCGCCAAGATGAGCCACGCAGTCCACTCGGGGAGGTACTTGATGAACACCAGGGCCATGAGGGCACTGATCATAATAAGATATGCCTGCTGCAGCCGAAGGGGGCCTTTCCAGTGAATGGAAATCATTCCCACCACACCAAAATTCCAGATCAGGAGTGCAACTGTAATGTAGTCCACTGCAACGTTATAGGTTTTAAATACTTCCCTGAAAAAAATTAAACAGATTTTAAAAGATTTATGTGCAATAATTGTTACCAAGACATTGTTCAGAACTATGGTTCCCAAATATGAGATATTCAAATGCTACCTTCATTTTACACCATTTTTTTGTTGACACTTTGCTCTAAATTCATTTTTTCTTCAAGTAGAGTTTATTTTTGTTTTTGCAGCTACTGGTTATTGAACCCAGGACTTTACACATGCTAGGCAAATACTCTATCCCTGAGCTACATCCCCAGTCCTTTTCTATTTTGAGACAGGGTCTCACTAAACTGCTCAGCCTGGCTTCAGCAGTCCAAGCAACTCGGATTAAATGCACATGCCACCACAACTCGAGGTACACACCTGGGTCTAAGGGGCCCATCTCTTATTTTTTTTTTTTAAGAAATATTTTTTTAAAATTTTATTTATTTGTGTGTGTGTGTGTGTGTGTGTGTGGCCAGCTCAGCCCACCAGGGGGCGGGCTGGCTGGCATGTGGTGCTGGGGGATTGAACCGCGGTCCCTGTGCTTTGCCAAGCTTGTTTCAAGTAGGTGCTTTAGACCACTGAGCCATCTCTCCAGCCCCATAAGGAATTTTTTTTTTTTTTTTTTGCTCCTCGAATACAATCAGGGCACTTTTGGCCAGCTGTAGGGTTGTGGGGATCGAACTACAAAAACCTGAGGCTCACAGCTTTGTGGAAGCAGCCACTTAACTGAGCTAGGGCCAGCCCCCCCATCTCTTATTTTCTATCATAAATTTGTACTTTAGCATAATAGCAGCTGGCTGTGCATCTCAGTACCTTTCCCTGAGGGATACAGAAAGCAGTCCATGTGTTAAGTCACTTGGTCTGATGAACAGCAAGAACCGTGCCGGTGTGCAGGAAAAAAAGTGGCTAGAGGGGATTTGGGCCCACCTTTATGCACCATCTAACTGGTTTCATGTATGCTTACCTGAGCTTCACAGAGGGTCCAACAGACCACACCACTCTAGGATTTTTTTTTTTAAGTTTTTTTTTCCAGATTTCTCTGGTAGAAGTAACCCAATTCAATACAAAAGCACATGAAAAACCAGATTTGCAAGTTTTGCAGATCAAAAGTGAATCATCAGATTACTCATGCATGGATGAGGAAGATGACCATTATGGTGAAGTACATACTTTCACAGCAGAAGAGTGGTGTTGGGAGAGGACAGTGATGAGGACAGCTATGGTGACTTTGACACTGGCCACGTGAGCCAAAGGACCCAAGACAGCGAAGTGGGGCAAGGATGGACCATTACAGACACAGGCAAGAGGGGAGGTAGGGCTGAAGGGAGGGAAGGGGAATAGGGGGAAAAAATGAAGTTCAGACACAAGGAACACAGATCTCCTTGATTCAGATGACAAAACATCAATGTGAAGACATCTGACTAGCGGAAATGTTGCAAAATGGAAAAACCCAACGTGAGATCTAGGTTGGAAAATACAGCAAAGCTACTGGTGAGGGTAAAACGTACCAGAAACAACAGGACTGCCACTCAACGCTGGAAATCGTAACAGGTGAAACACTACAAGATGCTACTGAATACACAAAGGCTGAAGTGCAGTAAGACATTCTGTATGTACTGATAGTCATATTTAAAAATATACTTATTAGGGCCGGCCACATAGCTCAGTGGATTAAAGCGCCTGCTTAGGCAGACACACAGGCAGGGAGTTTGATCCCGAGCCTGCCATGCCGGCCCCGCCCCTGGGGCACACTGAGACGGTAACTGAGACTGGGTGTGGTGGCACACACATGTAATCCCAGCACTTGAGAGGCTATAAACTGGAAGATCACTACGAGTCTGATGTACACAGTGAGACCCTGCAGACCTTGTCCTAAATAATAATAATAATAATAATAATAATAATAAATATACTTTATTATGACACTAGCAGAACTGAAAGCATTCATAGCTCTGCTATACTAAGCACAATTTTTTGGTTTGTTTTTGGTTTGACTTTTTGAGACAGGCTATCACTATGTAGTGCAGGCCTGGACTCACTTTGTAGCCCAGGCTGGCCTCAAACCCATAGTCAGCTGGGATTATAGGTGTGTGCCACCACACCCAGCCAGCAGATTTCCTCTGATCATCTCAGGAATGTAAAAGGCTTATTTGATATTTTATTCTGTTGACATCCCATTTCCCTATGTGCATGCTGTACTGTACAGCAGGAAGCTCCGGACAGAACAGGACGAGAGGTAATGAGAGAGCCACACAGGAAGGAGAGTGAAGCACACGTTCCGTCTGTGTAAGCAAGATGAACGTGGGGCAAATGCAGCTGTCGGACGTGAAGACTCTCTCGGGGTTCACTGCTGAAGCAAAGCTTATTTTTGTGGATTTTACTGGTATTTTCACTGCAGTTTATGTAAGAACTTATTTCTGATGTCATCTTTTAGGTTTTGTAAGCAAGTACACAGCTGACATGCATAATACATACAAAGAATGGAACACTTTATTTTATTGATATTTCAGGTTCCTGGTAATTACACACTGTATAATGTAGTAAGAACCTCTCGACAAACAGCAAGACCCCTGAGATGTCAGCTACGTCCTGCAGGAAGGCCAGGAAAGCCAACCTGCGTCTGCCTGCGCGAGTGACGCACAAGTACAAATGCTCTGCTGCTGTCTCGCGTGCTGCCTGCCTTCAGTGTGACAACTGAAGTATGATTTTTATTTTTAATAGAGTGTCAGTGGTATTTTCAGTGCAGTTCATATGGGAATTTATTTCTGATGTTCTTTTTTAGATTTTGTATACTAAAAATGAATCGATGTTGAGGTTTTTTTTTTTTGTACCAGAAATCAAACTCAAGACCTTGCACTTCGCAGGCAGGCACTGTGTCACTCAGCTATATCCTTGGCCCGATGTTGAAAATTTTAATAACCAATAAACATTTAAAATTCAAAATTTTCTCATGATTTTTATCCTAAGTACTCATTATTTAATAAAACTCAAAATTAAAATTAGTATTTTATCCATAGAAATATTCTAAAGAATAAACATGGTCTGACAGACCCATAGGTATGTGTGGCTTGACAATAAAATTAGTCTTATGCTCCAAGGACTACACACACACATCTTACAGCCAAAACATAAAAGATGTCATTTATTTTTTTTTTTGATACCAAGGACTGAACTGAGGACCTTGCACTTGGCCAGGCAGGTGCCTAAGCCGCTGAGCTATCTCCCTGGCAATGATGTAATTTTCCTGCAATGAAGTTTAGTGCATTCACTAGAAAATGTGTATGTTTAAGACATAGACATACAGAACACAGAATGTCATTTCGTTGGGAAAAAAAAATGTTGGCATGAATTCCTGAACAATGATGGGACGGATCTTCAGTCTTAGGTCTGTGCAATGTGTTTACGCAGCTCATGGCGGCGTCCTGGGGAGCGAACCCGCGCGTGCTGGCAATGTTCTCTGCTCTCCTTGGCATACGCTAAGTTCGCCCCTACCCTGAACTTGTCTCCCAGCTTACTTTCTCTTCTTCACTCTCCTGGGTACAGAATCCAAGGACCTGTGTGTATGAGACACGTGCTCTACCTCTGAGCTACATTCCCAGGCCCTAGTTTAAAAAACAAAACAACGACTGGGCTGGGGAGATGGCTCAGCGGCATGAGTGCCTGCCTGGGAAGCGCAAGGACCTGAGTTTGATCCCCACCAGTACCAAAACAAACAAACAAAATGAATGCTTAACATTTGTACAATTGAGAAAAATACAATTTCTATTTGGGGGAAAATATCCACCATTTAAAAGAGACTGCAACTGTGGAGATGTCCTGTGTGACTGAAGAGAAAGTATTTTTTAAGTGCAGACTTTGGGTTAAGGGACCATCCGGGAGGATGGTTCTTCCCCTCCCTTTGAAATTGCAAAGTAAATGCTGAAATTTCTGGATAACATTGCTACGTGTACTAAGCATTTCCAATGAACTAGCATGCAAGTAAAAGGAAACAAACTAATGTCAATTTCTAGGATGTAGCAGGTGCACCATGAGTAAGGTACAATTCACAAAGACTCTATAAAAAGCAAGTTTCCCTCCATATACTCTCTCAGGTTCCTCTAAAGGAAAGTACTATTGTATCATTACTTTGCTGTGCGCCTTCCCAGAGTCTGGGAAAATATGGATATGAATAGATACTTTTTATTAGACACTAAATGAGAGCTCATTATATTTACTGTTCTATACTTTTTTCTTTCAACAAACTTAGGGAGAACTTTCCACGTTAGCACATGATAGCACCTCAATCTATTTAATTGCATCACTTAGTTTTCTATCAGTTTAGACTGATTTTGTTCTTTCCCTAACTGATGCCTTGCTGCCATGACTATTTCTATAAATTACTGGGCTCACTTAAAATTTTTAATGATTGTAGGGTCAGCCAGATAGCTCAGTGGGGGACCGGGGAGATGGCTCAGTAGAAAACACTTCCCTAGCAAGCACAAAGGCCTGAGTTTGATCCCTGGTTCTGAAAAAAAAAAACAAAAAAAAAAACAAGATAGCTCAGCGGGTTAGAGCACCTGCTTAAGGCAGACGCAGGGACTGGGGTTCAATCCCCAGTGTGCCATCCTTGTCTCCTGGAACATGCTGAGACAGTGACTGAGACCAGGCGTGGTGCTGCATGCCTAGAGTCCCAGCACTTGGGAGGCTGAAAACAGGAGGATCACTATGAGTCCAATCTGCGTACTGAGACCCTGCAGACCCTGTACTAAATACATAACAACAAAAAAAAATTAATGGTTGTGCCCACACCACCATTTTGGGGGTACTGGAAACTTTACAGTGAGCTATAGCACTCCCCCTCCTTAAGTTTTATTTTTTTTGGCAGAACTGGGGATTGAACTCAGGCCCCTGCACCTGCCAGTGAAGCATTTATTCCACTGAACCATGTCTCCGGCCGCCCCTCCTTAAGTTTTCTTTTCAAACAGTCTTCTAAGTTGTCCCGACGAGGCTCAAACTTACCATCCTCCTGCCTGTCTCTGTGGAGATGGAGTGCTGGAAGTACAAGCCTGGGACTCCACGCTGGCTGCCACACTAAGCGGGTGAGAGTCCACTTCTCTGCATTTTTGCTAGCTAGGCTATTACCAAGCTATTTGATCTTTGCTAACATGTAGCTTCAACTGGCATCCATCTTATGAAGATGTCAAAAGTTTTCATATATTTAAAAGTAATTTTTTTAGTTAGCAGTTTTTCATCTTTTTACCCATTCATAGTTTGACTATGTTCATGGTATGTTTTACATCTTTCATCCAAAACAAAAATCAACCTGAGGCTTCAATAACTGTACAAAATGTTGCAAGAAATTTTTAAATGCTTCTGAATGGCTTAAAGATTTAAAAGATGGAAACTGTACCAGGTTGCATAGAAAGGCTCGATATCATAAGACGCTAATTTTATTTTAAATTTTGCTATCAAGTCAATAAAAATACTTGCTTCACTTATTTTTGGTTTTCTAGTTGTTGGTACAATGTCTTGCTACACAGTTCGGATTCGTAGTGATCCTCCTGTCTCAGCACCCCCCTCGCCCGGCACTGGGCGCCTGGTTTCAGGGTTGGCACGGCATACTCGGAGTTCTGGGGCTGGTACAGCATGTGGTACTGGGGTTAGGACTCAGGACCTTGCGTTTTCCAGGCAGGGGCTTAGACTGCTGAGCTATCTTCCCAGCCCTTACTTTATTTAATTTTTAATAGGATTTACTTTTAACCCTGAGTTGGGTTTATTTTTTAATCTGGACACAGTAACTCCAAAGTTTGTCAGTTTTTCTTTTCCTTGTTTTTTTTTTGAGACACAGTCTTGCTCTGTAACTCAGGCTGGCCTTTAACTATGCAGCCCAGGCTGATCTCACGCTCACGGTGATCATCCCGCCTCGGCCTCCTCGGGGCTGGAACCACAGGTGTGTGGCGCCATGTCAGGCGGCAACATCCCTACTCTGATAGCATAACTCATCTTTTGCAGTCTAAGTATGACACTATGTGTAAACAATTATAATTTAAGAATAAGTCATCAAGAAGGAACACAGTTCTAAGATCTGTTTAAAAAGAGACTTAAAACTACCACTACTTACCCCAAGTAAATGAATGAAAAGAAAAACAGCAACAATAGAGATGAAACAATAAGCCAGGCATGGATGACCTAGAGGAAAGAAATTAATCAACAGATTAGCTTACTCACAAAATTATGCTGGATTAATCTTTAGCAAGGCAATAAGCCAAATATATTAATTTGGTATTTCAATATGCATCCTTTTTTAACTAGTGAAGAGACACACACTCATCCATCCATCCGTCATCTGCAATGTACTTCCCTTTTTTGTGTGTGTGTAACTGGGGATTGAACTCAGGCCCTTGCACTTGCCAAGGAAGTGCTTATTCTACTGAGCCATCTCCTCCGCCTCCCTTTGTACTTTCTCTGTTCAGGTTTTTTAGGCTATTATGTTTATAAGTGTTCTTTATGTTGTAAAAATATTAGTCCTTGCCTGTAATAATGATTGTAGACAATTTTCCTGAGGAAGGTCATTTCTGTCACAATTTCCCAAATCACCCGAATTTATTATTTTTTAAAAATGTATTTAGTATAGTGTCTACAGGGTCTCACTATACAGATCGAACTCATAGTGATTCTCTTGTTTTCAGCCTCCCAAATGCTGGGATTACAGATGTGTGCCACCATGCCCAATCTCAACTGCCGTCTCAGTGTGCCCCAGGGGCAGGGCAGGTACAGCATGCTGCGGTTTTGAGGATCAAACTCCGGCCACTGC